GGAGAGACAATGGGGGTCTTCTAGTTCAACCCCTTGTTTAGGCAGAAAATCCTATATCATTTCGGACTTGGATTTTAAGAAGAGATTGGATTGGTTATCCAATCTCTTCTTTAAAACTTCCAGTGTTGGAGTATTCACAACTTCTGGAGGTCAGTTATTCCACTGATTAATTGTTTTAACTGTCAGGAAATTTCTGCTTAGTTCTAAGTTGCTTCTCTCCTTGATGAGTTTCCACCCATTGCTTCTTGCCCTACCCTCAGGTGCTTTGGAGAATAGCTCGACTCCAGGGGCGGGTTCTACTTACCTTTACTACCGGTTCACAACAGGGCTGCACATGCGCAGAAGGGTTTTCATTAAATCAGGGTCAGTGGGCGGAGCCTCCCGGTGGTTTTACTACCGGTTCTCTACAACCAGCGCGAACTGGGGGCAACCCAACACTGCTTGACTCCCTCTTCTTTGTGGCAGCCCCTGATATATCTGAACACTGCTATCATGTCACCCCTAGTCCTTCTTTTCATTAAACTACACATACTCAATTCCAGCAACCATTCTTTATATTGAACTTTAGGATTTACTGTATATTATCACCAAGATATCTCAATTGCTGGTAACCTATCACAAAGTAAAATGCAGTATCCACTGTAAAACAAAAAGAAAGGAAATAAAACTTCCATATTAAAAAAAGTAATTATTTTTTCCCTTTATTATCCTTGTATTCCCTCTATTGTCAATAGATGAACAGGAGAATAAAAGAGGAAAGAGTTGAGATGGGAAAAAAGAAACTTGATATGAAGTAAGATATGCAAATCTGTAGGCACTGAATATCCAGAACATTTTGGGTAATTTGGGTTTTTAAAAGAATAGCTTTTACATAAGCTCCTAGAAAAGAGGAATAATTAAACCTCTGTGAATAGTCTCCTTCTTCAATTTAATTTTTAACAAAAACTAAATAGGTCTAAGGTATAAAACGTCTCTTCTTAAATTCTTTGGAAATCCTGTAATAATCAACAAATTATCCTGAGATTTGTACAGCTTTAAAATTCAAAACTTCAAGTCCCCCCCACCCCGCCCTCTCACTCAAAATTAGATGTCCTGGGGTAGTTTATCTTGTTTTCATCCTTTCTGAACTGGGACTTCGGGTTTGTTCAGAAGTTAATGTAATGTTCCCAAGGATTTTAAAAAAGAGGGATTTTTACCTCACCCAAAAACATAGAATGCCTTTTACCGACAGAAAACTGATGCTGTTATTAGAAAACAGAAGCTGAACTAGGAAGCCGTAATATTGTGGATCACAAAAAGACTTTTTAAAAAGGTTGTAGGCAACTATAGAAGAAAATTTTTGTTATTGGAAAAGCTTCTCTTTTCTATCATGAGAAAGGCAGGGCTAAATGAATCACAGGTGGGAATTAAGATTGCCGGGAAAAATATCAACAACCTCAGATATGCTGATGATACCACTCTAAAGGCAGAAAGTGAAGAGGAACTAAAGAGCCTCTTGATGCAGGTGAATGAGGAGAGTGCAAAAGTCATCAATCTTATTGTACATATGTTGTGCAATGACAATAAAGGTTATTATTGTTGGCTTGAAAGTCAACATTAAGTAAACTAAGATCATGGCTCCCAGCCCTCTCAATTTCTGGCAAATAGATGGGGAAGAAATGGAGGTAGTGACAGATTTTATTTTCCTGGGCTCCAAGATCACTGCACATGGGGACTACAGCCAAGAAATTAATAGACGCTTGCTCCTGGGGAGGAAAACCATAGCAAATCTAGACAACATACTAAAAAGCAGAGACATCATCCTGCCAACAAAAGTGCGTACAGTCAAGGCTATGGTTTTCCCAGTTGCAATGTATGGCTGTGAAAGTTGGACCATAAGAAAGGCTGAGCATCAAAGAATTGAGGCCTTTGAACTCTGGTGCTGGAGAAGACTCCTGCGAGTCTCTTAGACTGCAAGGCGATCAAACTGGTCAGTCCTAGAGGAGGTCAACCCTGACTGCTCTTTAGAAGGCCAGATCCTGAAGATGAAACTCAAATACTTTGGCCACCTAATGAGAAGGAAGGTTTCACTGGAAAAGAGCCTAATGCTGGGAACGATGGAGGGCAAAAGAAGAAGGGGACGGCAGAGAATGAGGTGGCTGGATGGAGTCACTGAAGCAGTCAGCGTGAGCTTAAATGGTCTCCAGAGGATGGAAGAAGACAGGAAGGCCTGGAGGAACGTTGTCCATGGGGTCGCGATAGGTCGGACATGACTTTGCAACTAACAAAATAGAAGAGAATTTTGTTATTGGAAAAGCTTCTCTTTTCTAATAACAGTCTCAGTTTTCTGTCGGTAAAAGGCATTCTGTGTTTGTTGGGCGAGGTAAAGATCCCTCTTTTTAAATCCTTGGGAATATAACATTAATTTTTGAGCATACCCAAAGTGCCAGTTCAGAAAGAGTTGAATTGTGGGGTCCTTGGTGCTCTCTGAGCTAAGTGGTTTCCATGCAGACATTTCATCACCCAATGAGGTAACACCATCAGTGCTATAAAAAGAGGGTGGTGTTGAGAATTCAATCACATTGTTATCCGGAATTGTTGTTTTTTCACAACACGGTACTCAGTCCTCTGATGTATTTGGAGATTGCCTAGCATGTAGGTCGTCTCTTTTAATATGTTTATCTCAATCATTAGCTTCTGTTACTTATCATCTCTCTATGGGCATAAATGCATAAATGGCAATGGCCAGACATATTTTGCAGGCTTCAATCACTTCTCTGGCTGTTTTTGTGCCTGCTCGTCTAACAATCTTAGTAGCTGCGAAATTGACTGTTGGATCAGCAGGAACAAAAACAGCCAGGGAAGTGATTGAAGCCTGGGAAATGGGCCCCGTGTCAGTCAATAGGAGTGCGGATTTACCATCAGCCTATCAAGTACTTAGAAGGTGAGGGCTGGGTGAACGACAGCAATGACTTAAAAGCCAGCCATCAACACACTCCAATCAACATCTAAAAAACCACTTACAAGAGGGTACCATATAAATACCACACACAGAATGGCACACACTCTGCTAGAAAGAAGTTCCCTGAGGAAGGGGTCCAGCACGAGTCTGAAAGGCCCAGGATGGATCCTGCAACATTATCCTAGACCAGGGGTGGGCTGCTGGGGATTTGCAGGTGTTCAGGAGAACCTCTAGCTAATATTTTGTGCAGTTCAGAGAACCCCCAAATCCCACTCCTGGCTGGCTCCTCCCACCCCACCCCTTCCCTCCCAGGAGTCCCTATGCGGCCTGTTTTGGATGCAGGTAAGTACAGGGTGCGCACAGAGCCTCAGGGAGGGCAAAAAACGGGCCTACTGGAAGTTCGGGAAGCCAGAAATGGGCCCGTTTCCAGCCTCCAGCAAGCCTCCGGAGCCTGGGGAGGCCATTTTTGCCCTCTTGGAGGTTCAAGGAAAGCCTCCGGAGCCCAGGGAGGGCAAAAACACCCACCCACCGTGGTACAGGAGGCCGACTAGGCCACACCCACCATGGCCACTCCCACTCAGCAACTGGGCAGAGAACCTCTTGCTAAAATTTTTGAAGCCCACCCATTTTATATGCAATGTTTTATCCTGGCTGTACACCGCCCTGAGTCCCGCAGGAGAAGGGCAGTATAGAAATATAATAAAATAAATAAATAAATAAATTTGTCAGACATATTTTGCTTGAAAGAATAGCACCCTCAGTCAGAAATGGTAAGAGGCAATCCAAAGCTAGGAAGAAAGTAAAATTAGATTCTATTTGGGTTTAGGCAAGAATAAACGTGTCCCTTTAAAATAAATATAACCCTTGGTCTGCAGTTACGCTCTTGCATTTCTGAGAGCTTTCAAAGGCATTTTCAAAGCCAGAAATGTACATTTATGGGTCTCACACACAAAACATGCAAAATGGCATAATAATAAGGAAACCTCTTACGGGGTGAGAATAGATTAAAGAGAGAAAAAAATGTGGACAATACCTGTAAATGAAGGCATATGGATATGCATTCGTGAAAATCCACACTTTTTAAAAAAACAGTCGCACATAGATAGATAAGGAGATTCTACTTGAGGGACGAAGAGGAAGAAAAATTAAAATTGCCAGATTCTACCTACTAAAAATCACCCTATAAATCTATTCAGGGGTATTCCAAGCAACAAATATCTCCAGAACTGGCGAATCTATTCCATCAAGCTCAGTTTTCTTGAATTCTGTCTCAATCTCTCCTCCAGTCCAAGTACCAGCTAAACTGAGTTTTTGACTGTTTATACAATGCACCATGGGTGGGCTGCTGGGGGTTTGCAGGAGTTTGGGAAAATCACGCTCCTGGCCGGCCACACCCCTCCCACCCTGCCCCGCCCTTCCCAGGAGTCCCCACGTGGCCCGTTTTGGATGCAGGTAAGTGCAAGGCGCGTGCAGAGGCTCGGGGAGGGCAAAAAACAGGCCTACCAGAAGTTTGGGAGGGCTCGTTTCTGGTCTCCAGAGGGCCTCTGGAACCTGGGGAGGCTGTTTTCACCCTCCCGGAGGCTAGAGGAAAGCCTCCGGATCTTGGGGAGGGCAAAAAGCCCCCACACACCATGGTGCAGGAGGCCGACTAGGCCACGCCCACCATGGCCATGCTCACCGAGCAACTGGGCAGAGAAACCCTTGCTAAAATTTTTGAAGCCCACCCCTGCAATGCCCTTTTTCAAAGTATCTCTTTCTGTCTAAGATGAAGTTAATGGTGGTTTGCAAAATTCTGGATTTGTTTAGTGTAATCCTGAAGAGATCTTTCCACAAGGTTATGAAACATCAAGGGTCTATGTTTTATTGCAAAGTGTTGCAAAATCTTTTGGGGACATTCATTCATACACAGACACCTGTATTCTCCAACATTTCCTCATATTTGCCTCTTTTTTTGACTGGAGAATTTCCAATTTTTCTAACCGTTCAATCAGAAAATCTAGGCTGTTCTTAAATAAACAGGGGAGGAGGAAGAATAAAAGCCAGAGGTTATCACCTTGAGTAATCAGTTTGCACAACCTTCATGTTGCCCAATCCATGACTGATATAAAATAACTCTTGCACTGGGAGGAAAGTAGTTTCTGGGTGCCTCATCTACTGTAGAACAGAAACCACAGCGTAAGTGCAGAGAAACAATTTTATATATCTCTATCTCTATCTCTATCTTTATATCTCTATCTCTATCTCTATCTCTATCTCTATCTATCTCCATATCCATCTCTATCTCTATCTCTATCTCTATCTCTATCTCTATCTCTATCTCCTCTATCTCTAATCTCAATCTCAATCTCAATCTCAATCTCAATCTCAATCTCAATCTCAATCTCTATATCATCTATCTCTATATCTATAACTACCTATAAAGGTAAAGGTTCCCCTTGCATGGTATGTGCTAGTCGTTCCCGACCCTAGGGGGCGGTGCTCATCTCCGTTTCAAAGCCGAAGAGCCAGCGCTGTCCGAAGATGTCTCCATGGTCATGTGACCGGCATGACTAAATGCCAAAGGCGCATGGAACGCTGTTACCTTCCCACCAAAGGTGGTCCCTATTTTTCTACTTGCATTTTTTACGTGCTTTCGAACTGCTAGGTTGGAGAAGCTGGGGCAAGTAACGGGAGCTCACCCCGTTATGCGGCACTAGGGATTTGAACCACTGAACTGCCGACCTTTTGATTGACAAGCTCAGCGTCTTAGCCACTGAGCCACCATGTCCCATTATCTATATCTATATCTATATTTATATATCTATAAATCTCTTTCTATCTTTCTTTCTATCTATCTATCTATCTATCTATCTATCTATCTATCTATCTATCTATCTTTCTCTCTCTCTCTCTCTCTCTATCTATCTGATAAGTAATTAAGAACTGTATACTTACTAACAACCATTCTGCTAGATGTTCATCCTGAGTTCTAATGAATGGGCTAGGAAGTATCATTAATGCATGGTTATAGTTTGTTAAATTAGTGATTTGTGGAGATGTGTATCAAAAAATGTCTTAGATTGGGCTGGGATTGTATCTTTTGCTATGCATTTGTGAGCAAACTGGGATGTGAATGTAAAATTCTAAGGGTCTAAAAACCACATGTATACCACAATAACTCTGCTCTATGGATTGTACAGGTTATACGGTCAAAAGATGCATCTGATCCTGCTGTCCAGTCTTCTTCTTTTGGGACTATCTCTGGCCAACGGACATGAAACGGATCCTGAAGGACAAAGTGATAATCTTAAACCCATATTTGAGGATGGGGAGGGGGCTTAGCACATGGGCAGAAGTGGGAGTGCATGGGTGCCATTCCTGTTATCTGAATGCAGCACAGAGTGCGGAGATGATTAGGGGGCTGGGGGCTAAAGCATACAAAGAACGATTACAGGAATTGGGTATGTCCAATCTAGTGTAAAGAAGGATTAGGGTGACATGTTACCAGTGTTCCAATATTTGTGGGACTTCCACAAAAAGAGGGGATCAACCTATTCTCCAAAGCACCTGAAGGCAGGACAAGAAGCAACAGATGGAAACTAATCAAGGAAAGAAGCAAGCTAGAACTAAGGAGAAATTTCCAGACAGTGAGAACAATTAATCAGTGGAATGGCTAGCATTCAGAAGTTGTGAGTGCTCCATAGTGGTGGAATTCAAATAATTTAACAACTGGTTCTCTGCCCTAATGACTGGCTGGATGGGCGTGGCCATGCTGGGCGTGGCCACAGGGTGTGACAGGCAGCATTCGGCCTAAGAGGTCTCCCTGCATCCCCCTGGGAGCAAAAATGGGCTGCAGGGGAGCCGCACCACACCTCCCGTGCCCCGTTTTGGGCCTAGGAGGTCTCCCTGAAGCCTCCTGAGAAGCGAAAACGGGCCTAGGAAGCCTTCCTGAAGCCCCCTGGGAAGCGAAACGGGCTGCGGGGGCTGCTCCCCGCACCTCATTTTGGGCCTAGGAGACCTCCCTGCACTTATCTGGGAGCCAAAATGGGGCGTGTGGGACTCCTGGAAGGGGTGGAGCAGGGAGGGGTGGGGCCAGCCAGCAATTTAACTACTGGTTTGCCTAAACCTCCCAAACTGGCTGAATCCCACTACTGGTGCTCCATTACTGAAGGTTTTTAAGAAGAGATTGGAGAGCCATTTGTCTGAAATGGTATAGTGTCTCCTACTTGAGCACAGGGTTGGACTAGACAACCTCCAAGGTCCCTTCCAGTTCCGTTATTCTGTTATCTGAATGCAAAAAAGGCTCCTGGAGAGCAGAGTTGGTAAAAGAGCTCCTTCGAAATCTTTTACTGATGAAATCCAAACAAACAACAAACAAATCATAGCTGTAGAAATCAGCCCATCAAGGCTGAAGCAAGACGTGTAATGCAAAGATTTCTATTCTTCAGAAGAGCTTTCCAGTGTGTGAATTCACATCTGGAATGGGATAGTCAGGAAAGCAGGTTTGCTAATGTCCTTCTTGTCCAGAGAGGGTAAGGTTCAAGTAGGCTGGAGAACGAGCCAATAATCTAATTTCCCCCCAAGCCATTTCATGCCTTCTTCTGAGAACCAATGTATATTCAGCTGAGATGCCCAGCATTCACCTGAAGGTTAAGTAGGCAAGTCCAAGAAAAAATAGTTGCTCACGGTTTGAATGCCAACCAATTGGGGGCAGTTTGACACAGCTTGCCTTGCCTTCTGTGACTCCAATAATGTGATGCTGTTTTCCTTTCTAGTACTGAATTCTTTGGTTGAAAAGGTCGGCAGACTTGAGAAAAAGATAAATGAGGTGGAAAATGCCTTCTTGTCAGTCCACAGAGGTAAGAAAACTTGAAACCCTGGCTTTTGCTCCAAATGTTGTGTTGTGTGTCTAATCACACTTGGCCAAATAAAGTATTCAGTTCAGTTAAATTTGAATACCAGCTGCCTGTCTCTTAGAGTGTCTATAGAGGCAGGGGTCAAGATAGGAACTGGGATTGGGCAATCTTTTTCGGGCCTTTCACATAGGCTACGTGCGGTGGAGACCACCATTTCATCCTCTCTTATGGACTTCTTAAGGATTGGTGGGTTGCTATCTAATTGAGAGAATAAGATAGAATAGAATAGAATAGAATAGAATAGAATAGAATAGAATAGAATAGAATAGAATAGAATAGAATAGAATAGTTGGAAGGGACCTTTGAGATCTTCTAGTCCAATCCCCTGCTTAGGCAGGAAATCCTATACTATTTCAGACAAATGTTTATCCAACATCTTCTCAAAAGCTTCCAGTGTTGGAGCATTCACAACTTCTGGAGGCAAGTTGTTCCACTGGTTAATTGACCTAACTGTCAGGAAATTTCTCCTTAGTTCTAAGTTACTTCTCTTCTTGATTAGATTCCACCCATTGCTTCTTGTCCTGCCCTCGGGTGCTTTGGAGAATAGCTTGACTCCCTCTTCTTTGTGACGAGCCCCTGAGATATTGGAACATTGCTATCATGTCTCCCCTAGTCCTTCTTTTCATTAAACTAGACATACCCAGTTCCTGCAACCGTTCTTTATATGTTATAGCTTCCAGTCCCCTAATCATCTTGGTTGCTCTTCTCTGCTCTTTCTAGAGTCTCCACATCTTTTTTACATCGTGGATGCAGTATTCCAAGTGTGGCCTTACCAAGGGACTATAAAGTGGCATTAACCCTTCACGTGATCTTGATTCTATCCCTCTGTTTATGCAGCCTAGAACTGTGTTGGCTTTTTTGGCAGCTGCAGCACACAGCTAGCTCATATGTAAATGATTGTCTACTAGGACTCCAAGATCTCTCTCACAGTTACTACTATTGAGCAAGATATCACATACTGTATACTGAATGAAAACAGCAGAAACAACCTATGCATCTTTTCTTAGTCCAGTTTCCAATTTTGTACCCTTGTCTGTAGTTTCCAAACTCATAGAGAATGGCCCAAAAACTGGAAGGTTTTCCTTATTTCCTGAACTGATTTACAGTCATTTGAGATCCAACTTTACTCAATGCTGAGAATCAGTCAAAGCAAGGATATCAGATCTGGGTTGCAAAAATTCTGATGATCACAAGAGACAGCTAAGGGCTAAACTTTTCTGTATATTTTGATTGCCATCTGGTTGCCATCTGAAGTTCTTGGTTAGCCTTACTTTGGTGAGATTCCCTCAATTCCTAGGAAGAGAACTGGTGAACCCTGATGGAAGTTGATTGTTGCTCTTGAGAGAACTGCATTTCCCCCCACCCCACCCTCAGAATATGGGAAATGAAATAATATTCATCATTTGGAACAAGTGCTGTCCATTGTGGTTTTTTCCCCTGTCTCTGTAAAAAGATGTGACTCCTTCAAGAAGGAGTCAGGTGACCGAATGCCTTCCAAAAATCATTTTTTTTCCCCACACTCTGAAAAAGTCTGAAAAAAGCCAAGATCCTTTTCGGAATAGCAGAGAAATTTTCTATTTGCACCCAGTCCAAAACACCCTTTCCACGATATATATAGCCGATCATTTCACAACATTGCCAATGGTTCCTTTTTCAAAGTTTCCATCTGCGTTCCTGATCAGTGGGATGCTGAAACATATGGATGATGATGATGATGATGTTAGCCATTGAGTCACATCTGACTCTTGGTGATTCTATGGGGCAGGTCTCTCCACATCTTCCAATCTTTGAATTGTTCTATAGTCTGGCTGGTGTCAATTTTGATGGTGTCTAGCCATCATATTAAGGGAGGCAGTGGCTCAGTGGCTAAGATGCTGAGCTTGTCGATCTAAAGGTCGGCAATTCAGCATTTCGAATCCCTAGTGCCGTGTAACGGAGTGAGCTTCCGTTACTTGTCCCAGCTTCTGCCAACCTAGCAGTTCAAAAGCATGTAAAAAATACAAGTAGAAAAATAGGGACCACCTTTGGTGGAAAGGTAACAGCATACCGTGCACCTTTGGTGTTGAGTCATGCCAGCCACATGACCACGGAGACGTCTTCGGACAGCGCTGGCTCTTCGGCTTTGAAACGGAGATGAGCACCTCCCCCTAGAGTCGGGAACGACTAGCAGATATGTGAGAGGGGAACCTTTACCTTTAGCCATCGTATTCTTTGGTGGCCTGATTTCCTTTTACCGCTAACTCTTCCAAACAATAATTGCTTTCTCCAGTGAATTCCCCTGCATGACGTGGGCCAAATTAAGTGAGATGCTGAAACATACAGATTATTTATTATTATTATTTGTATCACTTCATGCTTTCTTTCCAGATGTATTCTTGAGTTTGACAAGTGCTGTTGTGCAGAGTCTCTGACTCTTTTAGGACACATTATCTGAGACAGCACATCTTTGAAAGAGCTTGCTTAAGCAAGCCACGATTCTTTTGAAGAAATGCCAGATGGCTTCCCTGACATCTTTTTGTCCAGCTACAGTTTACTTTAAATGGGTCTCCTGGGATGAGGGATATTTTCAGCAGAAAACTAGAATAAAGTCCTATTTCAGATCAGAAGCAGAGAGGTTTGGTTCAGTGCTTTTCTTGCAAATAAAAAAAGACAGATTTTTTTAAATTAAAAACAAACAAACAAACAAACAAACAAACAAACAAACACAGAAGTTATTAATGCTGTTTGGCCCATTTGCAGGTCCCTGATCTTTCTCTCTTTGCTGTTCCTGGAGGCACTTCCTTTCGGAACTGGAGTACAAAATCACCCCTTGCTTTTCCTTCTTGTAAAATCTGCTTGTTGCCAGGGGTGGGCTTCTGGGGGTGGGGGTGTCGCAGGGGTTCGGGAGAACCTCTAGCTAAGCTTCTGTGCAGTTCGGAGAACCCCCAAATCCCACTCCTGGCTGGCTCCACTCACCCCTCCCCTCCCCTCCCAGGAGTCCCCACAGGGCCCGTTTTAGTTGCAAGTAAGTGCAAGGCGCATGTGGAGGTTTGGGGAGGGTGAAAAACAGGCCTCCTGGATGTAACAGCAGGGCCTCTGGCGCCTGGAGAGGCCATTTTTGCCATCCCAGAGGCTCGGGGAAAGCCTCTGGAGCCCGGGGAGGGCAAAAACACACCTCCCGCCATTGTGCAGGAGGCTGACTAGGCCACGCCCACCATGGCCATGCCCACCCGGCACCCGGGCAGAGAACCCCTTGCTAAAATTTTTGAAGGCCACCCCCGTGCTTGTTGGGAACACAAAAATAACATGAGTTGTGGAGCATTTTTCTGCAGTTGAACATTTGCTTCTTCGTTGTGTTTCTAGCTCGATCCTTTGGAAGTGGCAGTGAAAGATTATACGTGACCAACAAGCAATTTGGGAACTTTGAAGCTGTCAGAAACACATGTGTCCAAGCCGGTGGCCATATTCCTTCCCCTCAACTCCTAAATGAGAACAAGGCCTTCGCAAGTGTTTTGAAGAGAGAAAACAAAGAAGCCTATCTTTTCGTCCAGAACCCAGCCAAGTTCACCAACTGGGCTGCGGGAGAACCGAATAACGCAGGCGGAAGCAAGTTGTGTGTGAAAGCAGATACACAGGGAGCCTGGCACTCTGCATCCTGTAATGAAGACCTCTTGGTGGTGTGTGAATTTTCTTTCATTTGAGGAGAAGGAAGGCTAGCATCCTGTGCAGAAGAGAGGAGCTACCTAAAATAGAACAAGCCAAAAGCAACCCTACCAAGACATCAAAACGTAAAGCGCCTACAAATGATTCCACCTTTGTTGAACCACATTGAAGAATGTTCAATAAATGAATGAAACAAATGTCACCTTTTGATTGTCCGTCCATCCATTTATTTAAAAATGATTAAAAAAAAAAAAAGAGCATCCTTTAAGGTTAAGGCCTTGCTTAACAACTGCTCTGTTTTGCAGCCATTTAAAGTTATGAAAGCACTAAAAAAAAATTGCTGCAGAACCGGTTCTTGCCCTTACAACCTCTAGCAGTGACCCACAGTCACGCAATTGCCATTTGTGTGCTTCATAGCTGGCTCCCGACAAGCAGAGTCAATGGAGAACCCAGCAGGAAAATTGAAAAAGGGAAAGTTGGGTTTGTATGTCTTGCTTATTGGCCACATGAGAAGTGTTGTTGTAACGGCCACTTTTATAAGAGTTGTCAGTCGCAGTTTTGGTCACTAAGCGAGGACTAGCTGTGATCAGTCAAGTAATGAGTTTGAAATAGCAATAGCACTTAGACTTATATACCGCTTCACAGTGCTTTACAGCCCTTTCTAAGCAGTTTACAGAGTTGGTACATTGACCCCGACAACCTGGGTCCTCATTTTATTGACTTTGGAAGCAGGGGTGGGCTGCTGGGGGGGTCGCAGGGGTTTGGGAGAACCTCTAGCTAAGATTCTGTGCAGTTTGGAGAACCCCCAAATCCCAATCCTGGCTGGCCCTGCATACCCTGCCCTGCCCCTTCCAGGAGTCCCCACGTGGCCCTTTTTGGATGCATGTAAGTGCAGGGTGTGTACGGAGGCTCGAGGAGGGTGAAAAACAGGCCTACCAGAAGTTCGGAAAGGCCGGAAACAGGCCTCCGGAGCCTGGGGAGGCCATTTTTGCCCTCCCGGAGGCTCGAGAAAAGACTCTGGAGCCTGGAGAGGGCAAAATGCCCTCCCTATTGCCATGGTTCAGGAGGCCAACTAGGCCATGTCCACCATGGCCACACCCACCCAGCAACCAGGCAGAGAACCTCTTGCTAAAATTTTTGAAGTCCACCCCTGCTCAGAAGGATGGAAGGCTGAGTCAACCTTGAGCCGGTGAAAATTGAACTGCCAAACTGCTGGCAGCCAGCAGCAGCCAGCAGAAATAGCCTGCAGTACTGCATTCTAACCACTGCACCACCACGGCTCATAATACACCATTTATGTATGCTTTGAAAATAGCCAGGTAGCCTTCTAGAGCAAACTAGCTTTCCTAGGGCGAATGATGCATATTTCAATCAATTTGTAGTGGTTAAAAGGCATCAGGCTAGAGACCAGGAGGCCAGGAAATCCAGTCCTTTCTGAGACATGAAGCCAAAAGGTTCATCTTGGCCAATGGCTACACTCAGCCCTAAGAAGACAACGGTAAGTAGACTCCAAAATCTTGTCAAGAAAACTGTAGGGACTTTTCCAGGCAGTCACCAGGAGTGAGTCAATCATCAACACTGATTCAAAGGAACATACACCAAGCATTAAATAATCTCACAGTCATCACATAATCATTGTCTTGGTTGGGTTGGCTGTTATTGGTTGGAATTGTTGGTGCTGTAGAAATACGGCATCTCTAGGGGTAGAAATAGAAATAGAATAACAGAGTTGGAAGGGACCTTGGAGGTCTTGTAGCCCAGACCCCTTCCTAGGCAGGAAACCCTACACCACTTCAGACAAATGGTTATCTAATCTCTTCCAGGGTTGGAACATTCACAACTTCTGGAGGCAAGTTGTTCCATTGATTAATTGTTCTAACGGTCAGGAAATTTCTCCTTAATTCTAAATTGCTTCTCTCCTTGATTAATTTCCACTCACTGCTTCTTGTCCTGCCCTCAGGTGCTTTAGAGAATAGCTTGATTCCCTCTTCTTTGTGGCAGCCTCTAAAATATTGAAATACTGCTATCAGATCACCCCCTAGTCTTTCTTTTCATTAAATTAGACATACCCAATTCCTGCAACCCTTCTTCATATGTTTTAGCCTCCAGTCCTCTAATCATTTTGGTTGCTCTTCTCTGCACTCTTTCTAGAGTCTCCACATCTTTTTTACATCGTGGTGACCAAAACTGAATGCAGTATTCCAAGTGTGGCCTTACCAAAGGTGCTTTCCTGAAAGGCAACTGGATTTTCTTGGATCTTTTTCTTTGAAAACATTTTGCTTCTTATCCAAAAAGCTTCTTCACTATTCTGAACTGAGGAAACGTCTTGGATGAGAAGAGAAACATTTTCAAAGGGGAAAAAAACCCCAAGAAAGTCCGGTTGTCTTTGTTTGAGACAACCATGACCTAGATGAATGAGAATCTCCATAGAAATCCATAGACAATACAGTATTTGAGGACTGGTTGAGGAAAGATTTCAGCTCTGGAAGTTTGATTTCTCTTTTTCTTTTCATTTTTTTCCTTCTGAATTGTGTTGCATCACCTGCAGTTGCCAGGAGGGAAGAATGAAAGTAAATACATAATGGGGAATCCCACTCAGGATGTAAGTAGGGGATCAGGTAGGATAACAATAATGAAAGCTAAGTAAGGGCCATGCTTTGGTTGCTACATTAAAGCAAAAATGGGCAGTGGTTTCTTAGGCTGGCCAGAAGGAGAGATAAATTTGACGTAGTAAGCAAGTCTGTATACCTTCTAGGACCATGATCGTGAACCTATGGCACATGTGCCACAGGTGGCACGCGGAGCCATATCTGTGGGCATGTGAGTGTTGCTCTAGCTCTGCTCCAGCGCACATGCACGCACTGGCCAGCTGATTTTCGGGCCTGCCGGAAGTTGGGAAATGGGGTGTTTCCGGCCTCCTGAGGGCCTCTGGGGGGGGGGGAGGCTGTTTTTGTCCTCCCCAGCCTCCTAGAAAGCCTCTGGAGCCTGGGGAGAGCAAAAATCAGGCCTTCTGGTCCCACTGGAAGTCGAGAAATGGGCCGTTTCCGGAGGGCCTCTGGGGTGTGGGGAGGGCCATTTTTGCCCTCCCCAGGCTCCAAGAAAGCCTCTGGAGCCTGGGGAGGGCAACAAACAGGTCTACTGGGCCCACCAGACCATTGCGTGCCAAAAGCAGGGGGCACGTGGGGGCGGGGCGTATTTAATTATGGGTGTGGGCACACGTGTGCGTGACCCCCCCACGCTCCCCACACTTTTGGCACGCGACAGCAAAAAGGTTAGCCATCACTGTTCTAGGATTTTAATTGTTTGGTTAGTTTCCTACATTATATCAGTGCTTACATAATTAAATAGTTCTCTCTTCAATCTTCAAACATGCACACCAAGCTAAGGAAACTGCATATATGTATTTGTGTGTTTGGCAGTGTATGTGTGTATATGAATGTAGGTAGGCATTGTTATCAATATTGACTAACACCCAACTCTCTAAAAGTTCAGATAATGTTAGGCTGTAACCGATGTTATCCAGTAGAGAACTTCTTGGCTGCCATTCCTGATGATTTTAGCCCTTACTCATTTGAAAGGAATCAAGAAGAGAATGGACTATTGGAGATATAGAGAAATATCATAAATATAATCCAGATGAGTGTACCAGTTTCCTAAAAAAAATTATAAAGTTGTGGAAGACAAAGACTACACTGTCCCTTCCTTTCTAACTCCCATATCCTCCCTTCCTAACTTCAAAGTAACCTTCTTGTCCTTACAAGGCAAGAGCTGTGGTGATGCAGTCATTAGAATGAAGTATTGCAGGCTAAACTCACTGCTCACTGCCAGAGGTTCGATCCTGATTGACTCAAGATTGACTCAGCCTTCCATCCTTCCGAGGTGGGTAAAAGGAGGACCCAGATGATTGGGGGCAATAGGCTGACTCTGTAACCACTTAGAAAGGGCTGTAAAGCACTGTGAAGCGGCATATAAGTCTAAGTGCTATTCAGGGGTGAAATCCAACAGGTTCTGACAAGTTCTGGAGAACCGGTAGCGGAAATTGTTTTATTTATTTATTTTTGCAAACAGTTTTTTTTTTAAAAAAAATTTCCAACACACAAATTACATCTTTTTGGAACAGAGACCTGATCCGGTCATCAATTTATACAGGTTTTTTTTCCCCCATCTTTAATAAAATTTTGTATATTCTATTTTGCCATAACACTTATTTCTTAATCTTAACTCACCTATCTCAACTAATACCACCTTAAAAAAATATTAAATCAAATTTACTTAATCAAAACAATTACCCTTCTATTAACCCCCCTTAAATCTTAATTCAATTAATACTTCATAGTACATTTCACAATTCTTACCCTAAATCCTCACTATTAACAATACTTAATCTTAAATCACCTATCTCCCCTATTACCATCTTATAAAAAGTTTACTCTTATTTATTTAATCAAAACAATTACCCTTCTATTAATCCATTTTAAATCTCAATTCAATTAATACCTCATAATACATTTCAGAATTCTTAGCCTAAATCCTCACTATGAAGAATACAGGTCAAACATGTTTATGTTTCAAAATCTTATTTCCCTTTCTAAAACTTCCCCACATTTTTTACTTCGTATAATGCTCAATAAATCTTTATTTCCCTATTACTTCACCAAATTTAGATCCTATCTCTAATCCCAAAAATATAGCAATTTAACATTGAAACATAGTTCTTAATTCAAATAAGACTACAATACAATTTTCCAATTATTTCCCACAAGTCTATCTCTTTAACCATACCATTTGTATAAAAACCAGTTTGAGTAATTCTTATTTGTAATTCATAGTCCTATATTATTTCAATCTTCTGTTCTTTTTTGCTTAGATAGATATATTATCAAACATATTGAAATATTAAAGTTATTGAAAATATTCAAATTATTGCAATTGTTATAGGTATTTAAACAATATCCCAGCTTTTATAGTCATCAATTATTCTCAAGTAATACCAAGTAACATCTTAATAAAAATTGATTCATTATGTCCATTGATATATTTTTTTTAACATAGTCTATTTCTCATATATTATAGCTTTCATCCATATTTCAATTTTAAGTATCTGTAACATATTCTACTCATATTTCTGTTAGCCATCATTAATCTCAATATAGTTATTTTGTAGATCAAAGTCTTGGACTTTTCTATCTTACCCCATTTTCC